TAGGGAAATGTAAATATATATTTTCGACAGAATGTTATATATTTTGAATTTTGTTCTTCTCTGTGGTCACTAAATTGCCCATAGTTAAATGTCACTATCAGATGTATAATGGAAGGTGATAAACACTTTCGTATATATACCATCTGCTGTCACTTCTTACCTGGATACATATCTTATTACGCAATAAAAATAATCGATATGGTAAATGCAGTAAAATATACACTGTATCTCTAGCTAGACTGGGGTGTTAAAGATATTTTGATCTGACAACAATTTATGTGTCATTTAGTTTATTGTGGCAATCATCATGATCATACCACATCTCCTTATTTTTATATGTGTAATTTAGATTTATTTGTGTGTGTATGTCCAAACAATGCACAAAACCATTGTATTTTCACAGGATCTTTAAAATGTGCTACCTTGGAGCCTATTTCTGGAGACTGATTTTACCTCGTATTTAGGTTTTTGAAGAAGAAGCATTTAATAAACAAATTGTGGCTTTTTTAATATTTATCATACAGTCAAGGCAAAATTTTGCCAAAATCGATGAATAATTAGTCTTAATACGAATTGAGAGAAGAGCTTTCTTATTTCGTATAAAAAAAATTATTCATGGAAACGACAATGTCTAAGTTATGTCGCGTTAATATCTATTCAGCAAAATGGTGCAACTGGATGCACCCCTAAACAAAAATTAATAACCATAAACGGCAGGTATGCGTCAATCAGACAGAAACATAAAAATAACGAGATGTGATATGATTGCAAATGAGACAACTACCTACTAAAGTTCATACGAAGTGGATGTAAGCAATTATAGGCAATCCTACGACCTTCTAAAATGAGAAAACCCGTCTTGTCGTCTATTAAATGCCCCGAAATGAAATATTTAACAACTTCAATTGAGAAAACTGACGGCCTAATTTGTAAATAAATAATTTACGAAGAACGAATATGTCAGATATGACCAAACGACAACCACTGAACAGGCTCGATCCTCAATTGCGACAGGCACATAAAGAATGTAATAGGGATTCAACATGTTTGTGAGCACTTAATCATCCCCTAACCGTGGACAGTGGTGTTACAACACATTATAAGAAGAAACTATCAAAATCCGCTGAAAAAGGCTCAACTGATTAGATCGATTCGAAGCAGAAAAACTTCAAACAGAAACACACACCGGACCTTGCAGGATATTTATCCATCCCTCAACCCTAACAACTACAAAAAAGAAAATCTTGTGATCAATTATTTACATTTGTCAGCAATACGCGATGGTCTTTTATGTCAAAAAGACATGATAATTTAGACCCTTAGTCAAATAAGTAAAAGAAACTACCATTAGTTTGTTATCAATCCCAAATGCTTAATGGGTAAAAATACAGTATTCAGGAGTTACTGTTTTTGAATTAAACTAATTTTCGAAAGAAAAATCGAAAATGGGGTATTTCTGAGAAACTGTTTTCTCTGTTTTCGTAGCTTTTTTCTAGCAAGAATATTGACAAATTTATAAATGATGTCAAGCACCGACCATTGAAAAAACAATCGATTTGTTTAAAAAAAGAGAAATGAAGGAACTGTTTGTTTCTTTAGCAAATTAGTTTTAAAACAATATAAAGAACACTCATATCTACACAAATCCTTATTCTAAACTGTATGTTTTTTTAATCACAGTTTTAAAATATTGTTCCTTTTAAAAATATGCTCCGCCTACACAAAATGAATGGTTGGTGCATTAACATTATTTCTCTCTGTACTGTGCATGTTGCTACTACATGAAATTTATCCTTAAGTAGAGCTATCGATAGCACGAATAAAGAAGTTATACATTAAAAGAACATTAGAAAATGAGGAGGGTGCGATCTTATTCTTGGACCAACAAAAAGCTTTTAATAGGGCGGAGTGGGAATGGATAGATTTTTGTTTATTAAAATTTGGGTTTGTGGAAAAATTCAGGAGTTGGGTAAAAATGCTTTTCATTAACGCTAAGACGTGTATTCATACGAATGGGTTTACTTCTAGATTTGGAAGCATAACTCGTCCAATTCGTCAAGGATGCCCAATCGCTCCCATGTTATATATTCTGCAAGCAAAACCACTTGCAGCATCAATTAGAACCAACCCTAATATAGAAGGAATAAAACTTCCAACTAGAACTGGGGATTGTATTGAAACAAAGCTAAATATGTTTGCTGACGATACTCAACTCTTTAATAAAAGTGAGGAGTCTATCGAAGAAACATTTAAAACTTTAAAACTGTACGAAAACGCTTCAGGGACTAGAATGAATATGGAAAAGACTGTGGGTATGTATTTAGGCAAGTGGCGAAATAAAAAAAACAAAATTTAACCAAATTAAATGGTCTAAGTGGTCTGTGAAAGCATTAGGGGTTCAACATGGATATGGGGTGGACTTAGATCAAATTTTGTTAGAAAAAATAAATAGAATAAAAAGCTGTATGGAGGTAAGGAAATCAAGCGATCTCACATTTACGGGAAAATTTTTAATTATTAAATCATTTGTACTGGCTATGATTGGATACGAAATTGAAATGAGAGGTATTCCAGATATATACGAAAAACAAATAAATAATATTATCATATACTTGTAGAAAATAATAGTATAATTGTATCCCTTGATAAAACTAATTCATATATATATTTATTCAATAAATTTGAAGAATTGTCTTAGCCGTGTGATATGACTTTTGTTATCAACTGCTTCCGGTATATATCAACTGTTTCCAGCTTATATCAACTGCTTCCGGTTATTATCGCATGCCTTTCTTTAACGTAACCGCAAAGCATTTCGACGTCATTCTGCAAATTCCGGAAAATAAACCTTAGTGGTACATTTAAGTGAAAAACATAGCTAAGTAGAATAATAGAAGGAATATTAGGAAACAGGAAAATATGTTATTAAAAAACGCAAAACAAATAATACAATAATAGAATTTTATAAAGTTTTTAAAAAAGTTTTCATGTCTGTATGGCTCTGCTAAAGTATATGATAAAAAGAACATAACATATCATTTTTCATATCAGACCCCTTATCAGCCCATGGTCAAAATCATCCCCCGAGCTGTCGGCTCTCGGGCTGATATCATGACCTAGGGCTGTTAAGGGGTCTGATATGAAAAATGCCATGTTATAATCTATATTTATATGGTCTTTTATAAGGGACGGGAAAACAAACAAAATCGCAAGGACAGTGTGATGTTTACCAAAAGAAAAAGGGGGGACAGGAATGATAAACCTAAGGGACTTTATAAAATCAAAACAGGTGAAAAGTATGTACAGTATTATAAACTCAAAAACACATAAATGGAATGCAATAGGTAAATTCTGGTTAACGTCACTAGACGAAAAATATGATACAGACTTTTTTTTATATTATCCTGTTCGGACACTAGAGGTTTTGGGCAAAAAAAAATGTCTTAACATTATAAAAAAAAACTTTTGATTTCCTGGACTGACTTGCAGAAAACTCAAAAATCCGTCACGAAAGAGGACCTTTTAAAAGAAAATATGTTCGGCAATAGTAAATTCAATTTAAGGGTCATGCCTTATATTATGCAAATTTTGTCTCCAGTGAAATAAAAAAAATAAAAGATATATGGGACTTACAATAAATCCTTTAAAACTTCTTCCGAAATTTTTAACAAGTTAAAAGATAAAAGAAACTGGATAGCACAATATAGCCGCATTAAAGCTTCGTTAACGCCTGAACAAATTGACCTTTTAAAAACAGACACTATCGTCCAATATCATTCTGATAGACCTATGAAAATAATAAATTCTTGTCAATTTACAAAAAATGGAGTTGTCGTTGATGTCAAAAATTTGTGCCTTAAAGATATTCGATACTTTTATGAGAATAATACAACTCCAAGTAGTCAGTTTAAGTAGAATTTACGTTTAGGGAAGGAACTACCATTGGGAGATATTTGGGACAATTTGAATAAGAATTAAGCTAACAGGACAACTAAACAACTTCAATGGAAGTTACTTCATAATATAATTTACACGGAAGAAAAATTACAAAAAACGGAAAGTGTCACTTTTGTAATGAAAAAGAATCACTAGCTTGAAAACGTTTCCTCACACTTTGTGACGTCGGTGATAACTTCTCCTCAGACATTGTGACGTCGCTGATAATGCCTGCTCTCGTGTCAAAGCCGTGATACGAGAATTATGGAGCGACTGAACAGGATGATATAGGCATAGGGAAGGGCGATAATAGAGCATCTCTGAAGGGATACATCTGGTGCACTAAAATTGGTACCGTTAGTATTATACCGTATTCTGATATCAATAATGTCCCTATTGTTCATGCCAGAGGAAATTGTGTGGTATGAACCAGGCAAATGTCTAAGAAGAGTGATGTTGAACCTTAAGTCAATTTTAATGACTGCATGCCCACCCAAATAAATATATTTGACCGGCAATGATTTACTGTCAATGAAGTTAATTAGAATTGAAATGTGTGTTTGTCAACACTTTCGTTATCTGTATATAACAATATGAATTCCTGTGTGGCTGTTCAATCTAATGCATTGATTACTAGTGGAATAGTTCGCATTCGAATACTAGTAGATTGTTTGAAACAATCGGATCATGGCTGTTACTTTATACTTTATGTACGACACTGGATTGATACTGCTGCTTGTGGACTATCACTCCCCGAAGGTATCACAAGCTCAGTAGCCAGAACTTCGGAAATTAAATGATTTAGAACAAAACTTTCTAAAATTATTGGTTTATGAGTTTAGTATTTAACAAGAAACTAAGGTGTCTACTCACTCTGACAGGCAAAATTAACCTTAGATAGATTTGACCCTTTTTAGGTCCCTTTTGGTCATGTAAGTCTTCAATTATTTACATTTACATCCTTGGCTTTCCAATATTTTGCTTTGAGTGTTCTTGACGAGGGAAAATAAAAAAACGCTTCGATCGCATGTAATTAATCAAGTGTTTATGTTTCATTGTTATAGTTACACACAGATAAGTTAAAATCATCCAGAGAAGAAGAATCGGATAAAGGAGTAGCAGAATCTAATTGTGATTCAGATAGAAGTAGTGAACAGGTCAGTTATTGTTTAGAAGATTCATGTTTTTGATTAAACTTCATTTGTAAAACCTTTATGAAATTTAGTAGAATAATTGAATCAAAGCTAATGTGTGGAAATTAACAATTCGGGCACTCAATAAGATGATGGTATGGATAACATATACCTATTGTCACTACCTTCATCTCAGTCCATGATTATTTGAATGAATGATTGATTGCCGATGATAGTACGTTCAATTTACTATTGGTGGATAGCTTTAATTTTTGCACGAGGCCAGTGTACCAAGAAAAGGAACCATTAACGTAAAGCAGACAAACTGGCAAATATAGTCAAATAATTGACAATAAAGATCGGATTCATATGCACCTTGCTACTTGCGATTTATGAGTTTGAAGGTCCCTTTGGTAATTTTCTCCTCTCTATTGCAAGTTTCGAAATGACAACCTCAGTCTTTATTGTGTATATACACAAAATGTAGGGTTTTTGATGAAGACGAATCCAGAAATCGCTTCAAACGAAACAAATGTATCAAGTGGTATATGCATATCAGTTTAAATACAAGAACAAAATTAAAAGCTTAAATAATAAAACGTTGTCCAGAAAAACAATTTAGAAATGAATAGTTAAATGTATCATTTAAGATGCAGAAAAATACCAAAGAACAAACGTAAGGTCGTTATAAGGAGAAACCTTTTTCGTTTGACTCGACCAGAAATCTTAAAAGCAAAACAAACAACAATATTCTTATTGGTTCAAATTTGGATTCCTTTAATATGAATAAACCATGTTATAACTTTTCAAACTTACATTTAGTTGAAGGGATTTTTAGTTTACATGTGTTTAATGTATTCATTTCGTTCCTATCATTTGTCTTGTTGGTTCTAGATGAAGGTTTAAGTTCATAATAGCATAACTATTACCTCATTATGATTATCTTAAATATTACTTAAGTCTATTTGCATTTTACTCTGTGTAAAACATAATTAACACATTGTAAACAGGAAAAAAATGCATTTAAATGACAGATAAGTCAAAGTTGTCAAATAATTTATAGTTTTTGGTGAAAATTGTTTGAATGAATCTGATTAATAAATCATTTAGTACTTCTAAAAGGAATTGAGCGCATTGGTGTTGAATTAGCAGTTTCTGTGTTAATGTTTGTTTTTTTTAACTTTTTTCTTCAAACATTAGGAGCTGAATCAAATTTAATGTCAGCTAGTTGTTAATGTTGCAGACTGTGTACCTTATGTAGAACCATTCTATTCATTCTTTCATAACATGTTATCGCAAATGGATAATATTGAAAAGAATTAACAAAAATACCAGTCCCCAAGGCAAATTCACAAAGGGGGAGTTCATAAAAAAAGACAAAGTCAATCGTCAGACTTTATCAACAAACGGAACGGAAAGAAAACAAATGCCATGAACCTCTCCCAAAGACCTTGTTTTATAGCTAGGTTAACCACTTGAATTTCAGTTGTTCAAAGTTCCGTTGTACTGACAAAAAAAGGTAGGCAACCAAAAAGGACATACTAGGTTTATATGATAATAATTGTGATCCAAATGTATAAAGTGTGTTATGTTTCATTATTATAGTTACAAATAGAAAAGTTAAAATCACTAAAAGAAGGTGAATCGGATAAAGCAGTAGCAGAATCTAATTGTGATTCAGATAGCAGTAGTAAACAGGTCAGTTATTGTTTATTCTGTATCAACTTCACAAATAATACATGATGGTCTTGAAGTATAGATTCTGCGTACTGACGCTGTTTATCATCTTAATAACGTGTTAAAGTGTTCTTTTATTTGTCTTTATTAATATTACTTTTACTGTTTGGTCTGTTTTTGGTGATATACATTTGACGTGGCTCTGTACTTATGCATCCCGTCATTGTGTTGTTTGTATTATTTTTCATTTTTACTTGTGTGCTTTGTCCGTGTGACTTTTTATGTTTCTTTGATACATATGACGTGTCTTTGTACTTTAAACATCCTGCCATTGTTTTATTGTTCTATTATAATTTTTGCATACTTTGAACGACACAATTAGTTTATATCTCTACCTGTGTGACGTTACCATTCTGACGTAAAACACGCAATTTTACGCCAGAGTTAATGTTAAAATTACGATTCGGTCCCAGTGCTTAAAATCCCTCGAACCTTTATGGGTTGAAATTTGCATACATAAATAAAATACAAAAATAAGTAAGCAATGAACGAGGTTGTTAAATGTGCTTCTTTGTTAAATATTTGTTTGTTTTTCTTGTGATTAAGATTGTGACACGGTGTTGACTGCTGTGCCCCTATTTTGACATTTTTACCTATTATGTTTGCTTATTTTATTCACGCATCGTTGTCAATATAATTTGATGCGACTGTCATACAAGTGAGAGGTTTAGCACTATAAACCCATGTTCAATCCACCATTTTCTACATAAGAAAATGCCTGTACCAAGTCAGGAATATAACAATTGTTGTCCATTCGTTTAATGTGTTTGTGCTTTTGATTTTGCCATTCAATTAGGGACTTTCCGTTTTGAATTTTCCTCGGAGTTCAGTATTTTTGGTATTTAACTTTTTAGAAGGTTCAAGTTTTTGATAAAATTTCATTTGCAAAACCTTTATGAAGTCTAGAAAAATAATTAGATCACACCTAATTTGTGGAAATTGACAATTCATGCACCCAATAAGATGATGGTATGGATGACATTAAGCTATTGTCACTGCCCTTTTTGGGAAGTCCGCATACTAGATGTACAGTATTGTGCGCCGCTCACTTGTAACGTCACTACCGTTGACGTACTTCCTTTAGCTTTCTCAATACATTATCAAACTAGCAAGACGTCTGTTATTTAGTCCATGCCATCATACGATATCTTAGCCACTTTGCACAATATTGGTGCCTTGACCAGATGAAATAATGGAAGCGAAGTGGAAAGCTGTACGAGCGGGACACAAAAGCGCAGTCACGAAACTCCTGAGGAAATTTGAAGAAATTCAGCAAAGTTCGACGCGGATTATTACGAAATGTTAACGTTACTTGTAACTGTTACAAAGAAGAAAGGATCTTTAGAGAACATCAACGAGAGGAACTTAGAGAAAACTTCAGATGAGGATGTAACAGTGAACGTACAGGACTCAGATGAGTACATGTTCAATTATCAATCCAAACTTTTCTGATTAAGTTTCAATAATATATCCCCTAAAACTAGAAATTAAAGAATTAAATAGACACGGATTTTCCGCCTCATTTTTAGACTAATACCTCGAATTGAACATACATGGTCATCTCAGAACCAGAATCTATGACTAACGAGACGATTTTAATTTTGAAATTATCAATTTCCTCCACCTTATTAGCAATATACCAACTTCACGTGCATATGGGAAATAAATTTCCCAAAATAGGGACGAAAGATACCAGAGGGACAGTCAAACTCATAGTTTGGAAAACAAACTGACAACGCCATGACCAAAAAATAAAAAGACAAACAGACAAATAATAGTACAGATGACACAACATAGAAAACTAAAGACTAAGCAACACGAACCCCACCAAAAACTGGGGGTGATCTCAGGTGCTCCGGAAGGGTAAGCAGATCCTGCTCCACATGTAGCACCCGTCGTGTTGCTTATGTTATAACAAATCCGGTAAATAGTCTAATTCGGTAGGTCACATTCGTGAAAAGGGAAGGGTATTGTAGTTACGACATAAGGAACATATCCGATATCATCTGTGAAACGGTTATTCCATAACGGTCAACCAACTCGTGATGGCGTCCGTAAAATTTACGAGGGGATGATTTCAACTTCACCATTATTTTGGAACTCTTGGTTTAAAAGCTTCCTTGTGAGCAGCAATCCTCTATCAAGGAAATCATGATAGGAAATACAAGCCCGGGAATATCGTATCAATTGGGAGATATATACTCCGTATTCAGGCGCTGCTGGAATGTTGCTACATAGAAATGGAAAGTTCACAATTGGGAAGCTGAAATCATCTCTTTTGTCGTAAAGTTTTGTTTTCAACCGACCCTCATTGTCAATTTCTAGATGTAAGTAAAGATATGAAGCAGACTTAACTGTATTATTCGGTATTTAATAGCTTGCAGCTCCTACTTAGACTTTGTAAAACGTCACCAGTGACTGAGCAGAAAGTTGATGAACCAGGGGCATGTCAAAGAACGTCTCGTCCTTTTTCTAAAAAAGTTCATCGGAAGGTACCAAGACCTTGTTGATAAATATTCCGTATCAACTTCACAAATAATACACGATGGTCTTGAAGTATAGATTCTGGGTACTGACGTTGTTTATCATCTTAATAACGTGTTATAGTATTCTTTTATTTGTCTACTGTTTAGTCTGTTTTGGTGATATCCATTTGACGAGGCTCTGTACTTACACATCCTGTCATTGTGTAATTGTTCTAATGTAAACATTTTGTATTCGTGTCTTTCAGTTTTGCTAATGTGCCTTGTCTATATGCCTTTTTGAGCTTATGTTTCATATTTTTTTGTTTTCATAGTGATTATGGTTATAAAATAATGTTGACTGTTGTACCCCTATTTTTGACATTTTTTACCTATTATGTCTGTTTGTTTTGTTCACACATCGTTGTCAATATAATGGAACTTGATGTGACTGTCATACAAGTGAGAGTTTTAGCTAGCTATAAAACCAGGTTTAATCCACCATTTTCTACTTAAGAAAATGCCTGTACCTAGTCAGGAATATGACAGTTGTTAACCATTCGTTTGATGTGTATGAGCTTTTCATTTTGCCATTTGAGGGACTTTCCGTTTTGAATTTTCCTCGGAGTTCAGTATTTTTGTGATTTTACTATTTAGAATATAAACTATGGCAAATTACAAAATTAGCGAAGTCAGTTCAAAATCAGAGCTTACCCGCAAATGAATCAATTTTATTGAATGTGAACCCTCATGCTAATAGTTTTATACCGCATACACAATCAGTTCCATCTTCACGTATCAACCAACCATCAACAAATGTCAACAGCACATCAACAATATACAAACACCCCAATTGCATGCTCATTTTCTAGCACAAACAGTGAGTATCATAAGCTACCAAAGTTAAATTTAACTTTATTTACTGGAGATATAGTAGTCTGGCATTCATTTTGGGGGTTCTATGAACAAGCGATCTGCAAATCAAACACTGAGTGATGATAAAAAATTCAGCTGCTTAAAGTCCCTTTACAAAGCTAAGCGTTACAAACAATAGCAGGTTTTTCCATGTCGAACACAAATTACGACAAAGCAATTGTATTACTCCAGGAAAGATACGGACAAACCCATAAAATAGTCCAAACCTACATACAGACCCTACTTAATTAACAGGCTCCAATCCATAATTTACTATCCTCCGTTGTTACTATGATAAGATAGAAACTTATGTAAGAGGTCTCGAGTCATTCGGACAGACAGACGATACTATGGATCACTACTAGTTCCTGTCATTTTAAAAAAGCTACCTGCAGAGATACGTCAAAATTATGCACGGGAACACAGACCCACAAACTGGACACTACATGATTTACGCAAAGCAATTCCGACGAGTTTAATATAATGGAAGCCGAAAAATTACAGGACAAAGTAGAACGGTCACTCGCTACCGCTACAATTTTAATTAGCGGAAAACCCAAAAAGTGAGTTTCGGATAAAAAGCTCTACATTAAGTTTTGCATTTTTCGCCACGAAAATGGGCATATAGCCGTTAATTGTACAAAAAATCAATACCATTAATGCACGTATAGGCTTTGTTTTAACTGTCTCGGTCGTCAAAAATTAGCTGATTGCAAATCTTCAAGTATATATACGAAACGTCATCATACAAGTATATGTACTAAGACATTAAAGAATAATAGAGTGGATGAATCATATGAAAAACTAAACAAAAATAATGGTAAACCCGTATTACACTCCTCCCAAGAACTACAGAAACTTCAAATGATATCTTGAAAACCGCTGTTGCTAGCGTAAGCTCCGGAACTCAGTCAACGGTTGCTAATATCTTACTAGACGAAGGAGCACAGAGGTCATTCGTCAAAGAAGCACTCGCCAAAACACTAGATTTAGATATAAACGGGACCGAAATAGTTCCTCTTTCTGGATTTGGAGAGCAAAACAGACAAGTTAGGCATATGCAAATGCAACAATAAACTTACAAACTGACATCGGAGAGAACATACCGCTCGATGTACTTATCATACCTGAAATAGCATTACCGCTACAAACACACATGAAATCATAAACTTGAGAATGGAATTACATGAGTAGTTTACATGAGACATTTACTTGAGTTGAAATTTGCACATCCAATAACAGAAGATGAAATGTTTGACACTAATTTATTTATTGGAGCAGATTATTACTGGAGTTTAGTTGAAGATAAAATGATAAAAGGTAATGGACCGACTGCCTTCGAACCTTAATTTAGATATTTACTTTCTGGACCAACGCAAGTATTAGAGAATCAAACAGAAGTTCAATATTGAAAATTATTGTGTCTCATCAAACAAAAGAATGTATTCTTTCAAAGTTTTGGGAAATCGAGTCCCTTGGTAAAGAAGGCAAGAACTAGGCGAATTTCAAACGATTTATGAAAACTCATCAGTGTCATTTCTTGACAAAAAGTATGTCGCCAAGCTACCTTGGAAAACCGATCAT